TGATTTAGTTGTTTTCAAGAACAGAGTAACAGAGCACATAAGTTTGACCTTCTAACAAGTGAAGAACTGGCAGCTGTGTATGTACAAGGCCATTCACTTGTGATCAATGTGGCAGACTCATTTGCTAAGACAGCTATTCACTAGCCATTCAATTATTTCATCAACAGAAGCAACTCCTGACACTGTCAAATAACTACTGTGGTGTCTCCGGGGGAATAGATAAATGTAATAAGTACGAAAGAACTCACACCACAAACTCTTCTTTTAGTTTCGTGAGGTTTCTTCCTTTTCTTTCGTTTGTCTTCCAAACCAGTCCGCAATCCGTTTTCTCTGTCCTTGTTCAGTCTTTGTTCCAAAAGTTCGTAAAATCCAACAAATCCGCGCCGAGTCCAAATCACAAGCCGTATACCGTTATCCTTTATTTGTTCCGAAAATCCATTGTCCTTAAATCTTTATCCACTCCAACCAAACTCCACTATCTTCTCCAAAACGCATTCACCTACTGGCTTCCGCGCCGGTTCACTGTTTCCGGGACATATATATTTTGTTTCCTGATGAGACCCACCTACGTCTCGTTGTCTTTCAGCCTGAGCCCTTTCCATCTGCGGGTCAGCTGGTTTCTCTTAGCGGCCATCTTGGTCAGGTCTAAATCGAGTACAGTGAGCAGATCGTTCCTAAAATACCTTTCCTGGATGACCCTCCCTCTGGTCCTCTAACATACCCTCCCCCTGAGATCAGCCCCGTCCTCGGGCTGTCTGGAAAAGAAACAATGCATTCGGGATTTTCCATATATATGGAACTATATATGGATCCAGATTTTCCCTCACAATGGGAACAACAGTGTTTATTCTTTCCCTCATTTGTTCCACATGTTCAATGACAGTCTGTAATGGTGAAGGCTAATGCTCCCAGGACTCTTTGACCAGGTCTAATAATCCCCGTGGTCTCCGAGCGTATAATAACTCAAAAGGAGAGAACCCAGTCGAGGCTTGCGTTACTTCTCGGATAGCAAACATTAGATAAGGGAGCAATTGATCCCAATTTTTGCCATCCTTTTGCATGGCCTTCCTCAGCATGCTTTTCAGGGTTTTATTGAAGCACTCCACTAGTCCGTCTGTTTGCGGGTGATAAACAGAGGTTCTGATTTGATGAATACCCAAAAGCTTACTTAGGTCTTGCATGACCTTTGACATAAAAAGAGTCCCTTGATCGGTTAAGATCTCCTTAGGGATTCCCACTCTAAAGAAAACGTGTACTAGCTCTCTAGCTATGTTTTTGGCCGTAGCTGCCCTCAGAGGAATGGCTTCGGGGTACCTCGTGGCATAGTCCACTATGACCAGTATATACTGATGTCCCTTTGTAGTTTTAATCAAGGGTCCCACTAAGTCCATACCAATCCGCTCAAAGGGAGTATCTATTATTGGGAGGGGAATCAGAGGGTTTTTATAATAAGGTTGTGGGGCAGTTTTCTGACAGGTTGGGCATTCCCGACAATATGTTTCGATGGCCTTGTATATTCCGGGCCAGGAAAATCGAGAAAGTAGCCTTTCAGCTGTTTTCTTCACGCCCCGGTGTCCTCCCAAGAGGATGCTATGGGCCAAGCTGAGGAGTTTCGACTGGTAGGCTCGGGGAATGAGAAGTTGCTCCACTTCTTCTTGTTCTCTCTTCTGGACCTGATAGAGGAGATTGTTTTTTACCATAAAGTAGGGGTAATTCAGGGGACCATTATTATTACATAACTCCCCCTCAATTTTTCTCACATGTCCCCATGCATGTCTTAAATTCCCATCTTCCAGCTGGGCTGTTCCGAACCTACCTCGATGTTCGGGTGGCTCCCAGTCTGGTAAATCCATATTTAAGAACTCATCTCCAAGTTCCGAGCCTTCTCCTGGCTGGTCCGCCTCTCCAGGGGAATCTGTGTTATCATCTGAATCTCCTGGACAGGGGAGTGGTTCTTGCCTAGCCAACTGGACAGTATTCAAAATTTGAAGAAAGTGGGGACAGTCACGACTCAACACCACAGGGTAAGGCAATTGTTCAACATCCCCTACAGTCGAACTATACATTCCCATTTCTGTAGTAATGGAAACTTTCACAGATGGATACACCTTAGTTTCCCCATGAATGCACGTAATAGGTATCTCCACTGCTTGCCTGACCTTGACCTGAAGAGGTCACCAGGGTCACCATACTTCCAGAGTCTAACAGGGCCTCGACAGGCTTTTCCCCTATCTTGATTTTAGCGATGTGGGGTGCCTCACAGGACAGAATACTCGCAGTGAGGTATTTGCATTTAGCTTCCTTTCTGGTGTCCACTTGCATAGGTTCACCCCCGTTGGGACACTTACAGGACAAATGTCCCTCTTTATGGCACTTAAAACACCTACAGGTCTCTTTCCATGGTCGGGGCCTTTGAACCGATCTTTCCTGAAAAGATGTTGTAAATTGAGGAGGATCTCGATGGTCCCGGTACTTCAGTGACCTCGTTCCATTCCCTGAACTTTCAGGTTTCCTCCTCTCCTCTTCCTTAATCAAGGCTTCTGTGGCATGCTGTCGCTCCACTAAATCAGCAACCTGGTCTAAGGTCTGGGGATCCCCATCACTCACTTTTCTTTTCAAGTGCACAGGCAGACTCCTCACAAAGTGGTCCAATACTACTTTTTCTACCACTTGCCCCGAGTTTAGTTTTTCTGGCTGAAGCCTTTTCTTCGCCAAATGAACCAGGTCAAACATCTGAGATCTGGCGGGCTTGTCCATTTGATACTTCCAGTTATTGTACTGGATTGCTCTTATCGCCATGGTTACCCCTAATCTCGCCCAAATCTCCTTTTTTAGAGTTTCATAGTTCTCCGCATCCTCTTCTTTTAAATCGTAATAAGCCTTCTGGGCTTCCCCAATTAAATAAGGCGCTACTCTCCCTGCCCATTGCTCTCTGGGCCATGCATTCCTGGCAGCTGTTCTCTCAAAGGTGGTTAAATATGCTTCTACATCATCGAGCTCCGACATCTTTTGAAGCCCAATTTCTTCCATCTTACGGGGTTCTCCCCCTGTTACCGAGGACCGTCTAATTTCTTCTCCTAATCTTTGCAATTCCCCTCTCACCAAATTCTGCTCTTCTATAATTCGTTGATTAATCTCCATTTGAATCTTATTAGCCTCCTGCTGTGCCTGTATGGCTTCTTGTTGTGCCTTTAAAGCCTGGAACTGAGTTAGGGTGGCCTGGGACAATTGTTGTATTAATTGTGCTATTGTTCTTAGCGAGAGTTCTTACCCAAACCGAGAGAAGAAGAGAAAAAAAAAATCAACTTTTTATTTCCACAAGTCTTAGTCACGATCAGCGGATGCCCGCATCCTCCACCAATTGTGGTGTCTCCAGAGGAATAGATAAATGTAATAAGTATGAAAGAACTCACACCACAAACTCTTCTTTTAGTTTCGTGAGGTTTCTTCCTTTGCTTTCGTTCGTCCGTCTTCCAAACCAGTCCGCAATCCGTTTTCTCTGTCCTTGTTCAGTCCGTGTTCCAAAAGTTAGTAAAATCCAACAAACCGCGCCGAGTCATAATCACAAGCTGTATACCGTTATCCTTTATTTGTTCCGAAAATCCATTGTCCTTAAATCTTTATTCACTCCAACCAAACTTCCCTATCTTCTCCAACACGCATTCACCTCCTGGCTTCCGCGCCGGTTCACTGTTTCCGGGACATATATATTTTGTTTCCTGATGAGACCCACCTGCGTCTTGTTGTCTTTCAGCCTGAGCCCTTTCCATTTGCGGGTCAGCTGGTTTCTCTTAGCGGCCATCTTGGTCAGGTCTAAATCGAGTACAGTGAGCAGATCGTTCCTAAAATACCTGTCCTGGATGACCCTCCCTCTCGTCCTCTTACACTACTCATACGTTGGCATGTGATGTCATGTTGTAAAAAGTCCATTGAGATTTACTGTTAAATTTTAAATTTAGGAAATTAAATGGCTATTTATGATATATTTTTACAATGCCTGTGGAGGAAAAGGCATTTGTCTCAGTATTTACCTACAATGCAATCGCCCTGAACTTTGCCTGGATGGTCAGGGTATCAAAGGGTGTATATGGTGTGCAATACTACTGTATTCTTGTTAAATAGAAGTGAGTGAATATTTCACAATAGAATACACCTGTAGGTCAAGTATGAATGATATACTAGCACTTAACAAATGATAGACAACACCTACATAGAAGCTGGTTAAGTACTAGTTACCAGTAGTCAGTAATGACAAATGCATGCCATTCACTGTTATCTAAAAAAAGCCTGAAGCCAATATTGGAGAAACCCGAATATTTAGGAAGTCCAAGGACAGTGAATGTAACTTTAATTTTGTTTTATTTTTGGAAATCTGCCACTCTGCATATGTTTTAAATTCTACTCAAAATTGTTATAGTTGTACATGGGTGGCACAGTGGTTAGTATTGCAATCTCACAGTTCCTGGGCCCAGAGTTAAATTCTGGTCCTGGGGTGCTATATGTGTAGAATTTGTACCGTATGTTCTCTGCTTATTCACATGGGTTTCCTCCAGGTGCTCTGATTTCGTCCTTAAACATACTGGTAGGTTAATTGGCTTTTGGGAAAGTGGCTCTGGTATGTGCATGTTTGAATTTGTGTCTGTGTGTGGCCTGCAATGGACTGGCATCCTGTTCATGTTGTGCCTGTAGCTTGCTGAGATAGGCTTCAGCTCCCCTGCTGCTCCAAATTGGGTGAAGCTCTTTGAAAATGGATGGATGCATTATAGTTGTCATATATATATCCCCTCTGACCTGACAGCACAGAGCCTGCAGACAGTTATTTAAGAGGATCCGATTGTTGATTGTTGCCAGGTGTTTCAGTAAAGTCAGAGGACTGAAGAAGGCCAGCAAAGAGTTCAAATTAAGATTAAGACCAATCTGTGTCTGATAGTATTGGATGAAGTGAGAGCCTGAGAATGATGCTGACTTACTGTAGGCCTTGATGTGTTGTCTGTTCCCAGGCTGAAGAAGACTGAAGAGCAGATACAAGCTCTTCAGGAAGAGCGTGAGTTCTACTCCTCAAAGTCCCAGGCATTGCAGCTCTCCCTTTCTGAGTTGACAGCAGAGAAACAGCAAACCGAAGCAGAGCTCAAGGTAATGGCTGAATCTGAACAGGGCTGCCTCCAAAGCAGTCCTTGTCTACAGTGACAAAATTACTGTGTTTTTTTTAAGATAATAAAATCTTGAATGTTCATACCAAAGGGTAAAAAGAAGTAAAATGTTAAGAAAGGCAATAAAAATCAAAAACTAAAATATATTGATTGCCCAGATCAGCTATTGAACTCTGTATCTCTCTCCATGTCACTTCAGTCCTCATGGTAGCATTCCTAATTAGGTTCCTCCTTGCTTGATTGTTCAATTTGGAGGAACAGCCTTATTTAGGGAGTGTCTGGGTGGTAAAATATACCTTTCACTCTTAACATTTGACTTATCTGTGTTCAAAGAGATATTCAGTGTCTCTGAAATGTTTTAATACTTTCTTCTGATCTGTGCCTTTATACAGCTTTATCCCTGAGTGATTTTGAAAGCTACTTGCTCTTCATAGTTGACTTTTTGTTTAAAATTCAAATTCTAGACTGTTGGCTCCCTAGAGAGATACAGTAGGTGCATTTATTACATATGGTTGCAATAGTGAACCACAGTTATTGCACACAGAGGCCATTCAACTAATTTTGCAATTTTTCAACATAATTTAGTGTTATCTCAATTTAGCCGTTTTAATAAATTGGGTGAATACTTGTGAAACCAACATATTTAGTTTTTTATGTTTCTTTGTAGTTTTTGCTGACATTTAACTTAATTTGTTCATAAAAGTGTTCATCATTGTTTGAACTCTCAAATTATGATTAAAATATTTACTTTAATAAAAGTGCATATACTGTATCATTTGTATTTAAACAAAACAGGACATCATTGGGTGGGAGTGAAAATTCTTTCAAGGTACTTTTAATTATATGCCAACAGTTTCTTCTGCTGAATTTAATTTGTATTAATGTTTTACCTTGACTTAAAAATAATAAGTTACGCTAGACTAAAATTATAGCTATACATACTAATACAAACACTTGTGTCATTTCACTTATATACACTTACTATATTTTAATTCTACTAATTATATCTACATATGTTTATATAAATTTGGAAGGGCAGCAAGCCCAAAACCGATCCATGCAGCACTCCACTACTTCGTTACAATTCAAAATAGTGCTTTTTAAGTTGTTGTGCTGTTTCCTGTATTGTGTACAGGAATGTGTGGAATCCTTATGGATTCCAATGGCTTTTAAATTGAGAATCAGCTTTTTATGAGGGACCTTAACAAAGATTTATGTGATGTCTAAAAATATTATGTCATAGGCTTTAGCTTTATCTACTATTCATTTCAGTATTCTTCTAATTTAGCCATAACTATAATTTCCAAAACTTAATCTGTAACAAAACAAATCATAAATTTTCTTTGATGCCTTTTAATGTAGATGGCTTTTAATTTGAGTATAAAAATTATATGAACTATCTTATTCAAAGCTCAGGTCTTGAGATCCATGCAACAAAAGGACAGAAAGCACATTCACATCATAACCCAAAGAATATTCACAGTTAACAGTTTTACACAACTACTGCGTTATATATAGCAAGACAACACACTCGGCATGCAATACGGTTTTAATGATACACCTTTCCGTAAAGGTGATCTGTCTTTTAAGAGCATTACATATTTCAAAGATGTTTCAGTCCACTGCTACACCCTTACATGATCACAAGCAAGTATTGCCTATCTTTCTTTCATATAAATTGTTATTCTTACCCTTGAAATAAGAATAAGGGCGGAGCAGTGGCACTGTGGCTAAGGATCTGTGCCTGTGGCTGGAAGGTTGCTGGTCCAAATCCTATGTCTGGCAGAGGAATCCTACTCCGTTGGGCCCCTGAGCAAGGCCCTTAACCCCAGCTGCTCCTGGGGTGCTGTACAATGGCTCTGACCCCAAGCTTCTCTCCCCGTCTGTGTGTCTCATGGAGAGCAAGCTGGGGTATGAGAAATGAAGAATTCCTAATGCAAGAAATTGTATATGGCTAATAAAGTGATCTTGCTGAAGAAATTAGAATAAAAACATTGTATAGTGAAATTTGTAATAAGGCAATAGTAATAAGGATTGCTAATGTAGCTTATCTAAAAAAATTATAATAATGTTATACTATTATAGACCGCGACATGCTGGGGGATGGAAATAAAAAAAATCCACAAAAAACTGAATCTACCACAATTAAATTTTAGGCTTCTTGTATAGTGGCCACACTGCTAGAAAAAATGCAAGTGTATATTGTCTTTGTTTATATAATTTTTATTTTTTATTTAATAAAACTAGAGATATTGGAGGCAACTGAGGCACTTTTATTGGGGTCTCTGCCACCGGTGTGCGTGGCGCAGAAGGACCCCCTCCCGAATGCTCTCGGCCTCCCCTCCAACAACACCAGGTGGGGGCTCCCATAGAGCGGGTGGGGGTTGATGTTTTTTGCCCATTTCCGTGCACTGAGGCCGGGAACCGCTATGTCCTCCTGGTAATGGATTACTTCACCAAGTGGTCCGAAGCCTATGCCCTCCCGGACAAGAGTGCCCCCATGGTGGCCGATGCCCTACTGGAAGGGATGTTTGATAGGCTGGGGGTGCCAGAGGAGTTACACAATGACTAGGGGCGTAACTTTGAGTCCCAGGATGTGCCAGCACCTGGGGATTTCTAAGACACGGACCACCCCGCTGCATCCCCAGAGTGACAGGTTGGTGGAGCGGTTCAACCGGATGCTTGCAACCCAGCTGGCCACTCTGTGTCCCGGCACCAACGAGACGAGCATATAGGACCGCGGTCCAGGAATCTACCGGGTGCATCCCGGCCTCGCTCATGCTGGGCGGGAGATGCGAGCCCCGGTGGACCTGGTCTTCGGCCTGCCACCCGGAGACGAGTCAGCACTGCGGGCTGGATCGGACTATGAGTGGGATCTGGGGCAGCGGATGTGGCGAGTGCACAGCTTTGCCCGGATCCACCTGACTCCAGTGGGGATCCAGCAGAAGCGGCACTAAAATCTGCGCTGCAGGGGACCGGCCTTACAGCCCCCTGACGTTCTCGGGGTGGTGGGCGAGGTCTGCTACCGGGTCCGGTTGCGAAAATGGGGGAGAGTGGTGGTCCAACACCGAGACCACCTGGCACCTTACCGCGTCTGGGAGGAGGAGCCCCACGGGGAGGCTCCGGAGGAGCAGCAGGGGTCAGAGCCGGCCAACAACGTCCACTCGCACAGGGTTCCACAGCCATTAGCTGACAATGAGTACAACCTGAAGGGGGATTTCGATGTCGACGGAATGCCAGACGCTTCAGGTGGGGGCAGTGTAGTGTCCTCCCCGGTGGTGAGGAGGAACTGCACCTAAGCGTTGAGGGTACCACAAAGCAGGCTGGGAGTTGTCGCTGGGGGGGAGTCTGAGGATCTGTACGATGACCAGCAGCTGACCCTGTTCATGTAAATAGACCTAAGTTAGTTTTAAGTGTTCTTTGAAGCTAAGTATGTATGTAGAATCTGTTAGCAAGTTACCACCCTAAACCTGTGTACGTGTTCCGTCGGTCCCCTAATGTGTGTGTAAGTATCCTCTCATGAGGCAACAATAAATGTAGGGGTTTTGTGCATTTACTGGGACAATTATTAATTGTAGCATTAAGTCACAAAATGATTCTTTGATGGCTATTAGAAGACCGACCTTGCGGGATAACAGCAACGCACACACACAGATACTATTACATGACAATACATGTATTAGTACATAAAATGTGCGTATAAACATAACAGATCTTATGAGTGAGGGTTAGCAGAATACAAAAGGTATATATTCAATAACGAAGAGTTACATACCATTCATTTAGACCGTTTCGTAAATGAACTTGGATTACAACTTCTTTTTCTAGATACTCAAAAGCAAGTATATTACTCATAGGAATTAAATTGATATCAACTGGGGTTAAGGTAACAATTGAATTCTCGAGCTGTAATGCAGAATGTTGAATACTCATCCAATCTGTGTGGATTCAGATCTCCTGCAGACACCAAGGAACAGTGGCAGGCTGTAAAGGAGGGAGAGATTTCTGCTGCGACGCGCTGCTGATGCTCTCTGAAGAGCAGCTTATTAGTGTTGGCTGAAACTAATAGAGTTGGTGCACACGGAAAGTGACTGCGGGTCCAAGCAGGTCACACTCTTTAGACGGGAAGACGATGTTCCCGATGTAGCGCTAGTCCTAAATCCTGAGATTCAGCTGTCCACAGTTCCGACCGTAGTTCATTTATGGTCAGCGTTCGTGATGGGTTCACGAGACTTGCTGCTGGACTAACCTCGGGTGGATCCTTTGATTACGCGCTGCTGACCTCCGTTTTCAACTCTGAGTACAAAGTAAAATCCCAGCACTTCAATTCAATTCAATTCAATTCAACTTTATTGTCATTAAACTTACACAGGTGCATAGTATAATGAAAAGTGTTTCTCATTAGTCACTCAGGTGCAGTATATAAATAGGACAGAAGATAAGACAATAGACAGTTACACAATAGCAATAACATTAACATGTAATAACATAACATAAATAACATGTAATCAAGTAATCAAAACTGTGCAAAATTCCGCAAACAAAGAAAATTTAACAGGATAAAAACAGTGCAAGGTAATTCGTGGAACAGTGCAAAAAAAATAGTATGGTAAAAGTAGTTTGGTTACAATTTTACTGGGCTATCGAGGGGACAGTAAAATTTTGACTTACATGTGTGTGTGGTGGTGTAGGAGTACAGTGGTTGTGGGTACAGGAGGATGTTAGGAGAGATCATAATAAGGTGGAAGGGAGTGGGGGCGTCACCAACTTGACAGCTCTGGGGAAGAAGCTATTTTGGAGTCTAGTTGTGTGCGACTGGAGTGACCGGAACCTTCTTCCAGATGGTAGGGGAATAAACAAGTTATGACTGGGGTGAGTGGGGTCAGACATAATTTTGGTGGCTTTTTTCAGACTCCTGGTGTTGTATATTTCCTGGATGGATGGTAAGGCACTGCACCGCAGACCCTTCTATGTAGATGGGGGAGTGAACTTTTCCTCGTCTTCTGAAGTCAACAATCAGCTCTTTGGTTTTGCTGATGTTGAGACATAGGTTGTTGGTTCGGCACCAGTCTGCGAGTTGTTTTATCTCCTCCCTGTAGGCAGTCTCATCGTTGTCAGTGATCAGGCCCACGACTGTGGTATCATCAGCATACTTGGTGATGGTGTTTGT